ATTCTTAGGAATGTCTAAATTCAGTTAAACTAGCAATTCCGTATTATATTTATAAATCTTTATAACATTATACAAAAATTAGATTTTTCTTAAAAACTGAAATTTTGCCGGGAATGGGGCTTTAAACTTTATTCTTTAAAATTTTATTTTCTGAAATTAAAAATAATATTAATGTAGGCCTAGTTCTATGAAACAATTTGTAATTGTAATACTGTAATCTCAATATATTATTACATTAATTATCAATTAATTATTGTTGACATTGCAGATATGAAGAGTGGCGATTTAGTAGTCATATGAGACTGATGTTAAATCAACATTTGCTGGCGAATCTGGAAAAAAAAAGAAGAAAATGAAGATTAGTGCTTTACAAAACAAAAGTTCTTTTCAAAACCCCCAAATGACCACAAAAGAGATTTGATTGCTGCCTTGTGTCATTACACAAATTTAAAAAAAATAAGATTTTGTATTTATTTCTGTATATTTTGTTTGTCAATTTTTGGAAACTGACCTTCATAATGCTTTATTAATAATAAAATTAATAATATTAATATTTAATAAACTAATAACAATTATGACAGTAATATAAAATAATATTAATATTAGTGCACAATAAATCATTTTAAAACTCGCTAATTACCCAAATTTACACTCTATAAAGGTATTAACTCATAATTAAACCTTTGACCTTTACCGGTGAACTTTGACGTTAAATAGTGACCTTGACATGTGATGGTAATTGATGACTTGATGTAATAATTACATAATTAATTATGTATGATAATTAGACAATGTGATGTTACATAACTACAACGTAATTAACATGGCCTAAAATGCTACATAATTATACTGTAAGGGACACATTTTTTGTATAATAAAAACAATAGGAATTAACTCCGCTAATATTGGTCCGATTTATATAATTTTTGTTTTAAAATGCTTCATACAGTTATGTCTTTCTTTTATAAATTTGAGTTAAAAAGAGGAAAAAGGAAAAAAGGAGTGTACCCATGAGTTCAGTGGCGATCCAGAAGTGGGGGTGAAAGGAAAGCTTGATTATTTGCCATTTGTTTACACCAACCATGGTGGGGCTGAGGTGGGCGTGGCAGCGAGAACTTTGTATTGTGCAGCCTCCGCCCATTGGAAATTCTCTGGATCTGCCCCTGCATACAGTCAGTGTGCCTAGACTAAGTGCTAGTCTGAGGACTGATTAGTGAGTGCTATTTAATAGCAAATAGTTATTTGGTATATAGACTACAGTTGAACTTGCCTAAGTGTGGTATAGACTACAGTTGAACTTACCTTAAGTCCAATCCAAAATGGCATTGGAAAATTGTTCAACTTGGATAAAATTTGACTTACGGATAGTTAATTAAGTGAAAACACAAAAATTTGGTATGTAAACTAAGATTGACTTAGAAATAATTTGAGTTAGGCAAAGTCGACTTAGACAAGTTTAACTGTACAGTATAGTGAAATGCAGGATTATTCCAATCAAACATCATATCACAGATTTATGACAATCCAAAAATGGCTGCAGCTCAGAAATTGACTCATGTACCCTATATTTGAGAAGTCAAATAACTACAACGACTTAATACATATTTATTGGCATTTTGGTTTTTCTTGCAATTTTATCTATTTTGGAACTATAGAATATTTTTAATTTTCTTATTTTATTTCAGTGTAGTTACTGTAGTATTTTGATATCCGTATTTGAATTTTTATGAAAGAGGGACTCTTCAAATCAGCATTGCTGTTAGAGCCACCATCTTAAAAAATTGGCAAATAAATAAATAATATAATGGATATGTCCTCAAATACGCAGAACAGAACGCCTCACTCATCCCAAGCTCATTTCCTTTAAAAACATGATCAAGCTTCTTTTTTTCATCGCAGTGTCTTTACAATCAATACCACATTGACATTTCACATTCCATCTTAGTCAACACACATGATACAGACTCAACTTTGCTCAAACCAACACTCAAATTTTCTGCATTTCACTTACTGTATTTCCACGCCTATGGGAGGACGTTCCTGTAGACATTACTGTAGAGGCAACCTTTTGCTTAGTCTTAATGTATTTCAGCATCGACTTATTCAATATTCATTTAACACATAATATTGACAGTTTTCACTATAATAATTTATAATAATTATTTACATAATAACAATAATAATTAATAATTTGTAAACAATAATTGTGATTTTAGTTTTTATATCCATACAGAGGGTTCTTTACATTCTTTTAAATTTTAATTTTGCATCATAATAATAATTTTATGTGTATTTTTAGCAGTTTTCATAACTATTTAGAGTTTTAACGATGAAATAAATGATATGATATGATATTGGCCTACTGGGTCAGGTCATTATACATCTCCGGTTGGGCTTTTATGTCCAATGTGAATTTGATGGATGTTACTCCATTTTTTATAAAAACCAATCTTGTCAATTTTAGTCCTTAGCCATTGCATTGATATTTTTAAATTTTTTCCACTGTTTACTTTCATGGGAATCCAAACTACTAAACATTATGCCTTCATCTCTTTATTATTTTTTTAAATATAAGTAATGTATTTTTGTACTGTAATGATGAATAGAGTAATACTGTATTTTGCATGTTTTAATGTTTTTTTTTTCAGTTTCAAAATGGAATTGGTCTTTTCTGGACTGTGTGCTTCCAGTTAGGCAAAACATAGGCGGCAATGAAGAGTGCCATCTGCACCGGGGATTCCTTTCAGATATAGCAAATGTAATACCAACAAAAGACTTCTTATACCTAATTCACACAAGACAACATAATGGGACTTATGCTAAATGTCTGCCACTGAGATCCCCATTGTCTTCACATGAGCAAATTCAAATCTTGTCAGTAGAATTAAAAATAATATTTTTTTCTGTAGGTGAGAGCACTAATTGTTTAAGGTCTGTCTAGGCCTGGGTGTGTTATCTTCACCATTCATCATGACAGTAGTCTACCTCAAAATATATTAAAACTTTGAACACGATCAGTAGTCTGTTCTGGATGCCGTATAAACTTTCAGCGACTGAAGCTGCATGTAATGACAGAGAAAGAAATACAGTAAGATTTTTCCCTGTTGGCATGTGTCCAGATTCATGCTATCACATTTTATTTGACAAAAATGTGTGACATGCCTAAATATGGTCATGATGACATCACATTATGACCATATATAGGCATACAACAGCTTTTGTCACAAAAATTGATAGTGCGAACAGAGCTTTACATGGATATTACTTGAAACATGTGCTAATATCTCACTGATGCACCATCACTTGGATGCAATGTATCAGGGAGTGCTTGCACAGTTTTTTCTAGCCGTAAACCATGTAATATTTTGTCTTGTGTGAATCAGGTACTGTACTGTAGATTTAATTATGTCCCATTTTACAGCCATATATTTATATTAACCATTAGGTAAGACTTTTTGTACAACTTGTTTAGTAGTTAATTTTTTTAAAGATCGTCAGAGGAGCTCGGAAAAAAAAAATAAAAGTGTTATTTCTTATTTACCAAATGGTTTTGTCAAAAGCATTTAGGCAGAGGAGATAATAAAAATAAATTTTATTGGTAAATGTAAACATGATGCTCTAACAGCACACATACAGTAGTTATTCATTAGACTTTAAAACACACCTAAATAGATTCCAGTCATTTAATTTCCTACCATGTGACATTAGTTATTGTGCCCATTTCATCGCTCACCATTGAAATTTTGTTCCATCGTGCATTTTTTTCCGATCAGAATCGTCCATTGCACGTTGCCTAGGATACAATGACTTTTTCCAGAAGGTTAAATCCAGAAATGATGTTACGTCCCCTATAATCTTATTCCTTTTTTGTTCTGACTCTCAAGCGGTGGTTCGTATACCTCAGCTTGTCTTAACTTCAGCGATGTGCAGAGATTTTATTTAATTGAAAGTATTTCAATTGTGTGGATGATATCTCAAAAAAACCTAGCTCAAACTTGCGCAGAATCTGTGCTTAATATTCCGAAATGCACTGACAGGCTTCTAGCCCTAGGCATAGGTTTTGCATGGAGGATAGGCTTCTCACACTCACAGAACCCATTCCATGTGGAGTGGAAATTCAGTTCCAAGAGAAATGTTTATGTCTTGATTTGCAGTAGAAACTCTATCTGTCTATGTTGAGCTTTCAAAAAATATCAAACGTTATTTAAATTTTAACTTTTTTTGAAATTTGATATTTTTTTTTAAATATAAGTTTTTAAATTATGATACTTTCAATGTTACAGAAATGTATGACAGGGCTTTCTAATAGTGTATCATATCTGACACAATCCCTGGGCTGTAGAAGGTATGTACACATTTTTTTTAAAATTATTATTCTGTTTTAGAGTTGTGTATAATTGTTAATTATACACAACTCTAAACCAGAATAATTTATACTTGTTAATTAACACCTTAACTGATTCTTTTGAATGAGATTTTTTAGTTTTATGACAAAAAGTTTGTTATACCATGTTACTATAAGTACATCACAGAGGTCACAGATGTACTATTATTATGTATGAGCACTTACAAATGCAGTGACGAAAAACAATAGATTAGTGCATACTGCATGTAGGTCTCCGGCCCGCTACTGTAGCCCATCACTTAACTCGTTGACAATTAGTATTTCAGTTCTAGGTTAGCTCTTTGCGATGATGATATAAGCATTCATTCAATAATAGTGCCATCTTGTTGGTTTTAATATATTGCTTAATTCCTACTACAATCGGCCAACCACTTCCCTTTCCCTGCTTGAGTTGCCACTAATACTCAGTGAAATGATTGTGATTTATATTAAAAGAATAATTCATGATGGCAGTCATTGGCCTATTATTTCAAATTGCACAATTCATATTTATTTTTGTTACAGGCAGAATCAGTTACAGGTTGAACCTGTAACTGATTTTGGGAGCCTTCATAGTAATGTTGACATTTCGGAAGTCGAAGATCCTCTTCATCTAGGCAAGGCTGTCAAAAAGGGAATTGAGAAAGACTCTACTTCAATTGAGTCACTTGGCCCAATTGTAGATTCCGAAATCGGGAGTCTTCATTCTGCAGAAACTCTGAGAAGTTCAAGGGCTTCTTCGCAAGCACAGCAACCAGCTCAAAGCAAGCGTCTACGTTCATGTGATCGAGCTGAACCTCAGGGCAAACGGATGTGCAGGAAGGTGAAGGAGGAGGATGAGGGAAAAAAGCAGAATCAGAAGGAAGAGGAGAAGAAGCAGGATCAGAAGAAGGAACAGGATCAGGAGGAGGAGGATGAGGAGAAGGAACAGGAGAAAAAGGAGAAGCAGGATCAGAAGAAGGTGGATGAGCAGAAGGAACAGGAAGAAAAGGATGAGAATGAGCTGATGTCTAATTTTTTTCCCTCATCAGTGGCAATCAAGGATCGAGAATGTATAAAAGAGTAAGGTACAGGTTTGAAACCTGAAGCAGGCCGGAGTGCCCATCTCTCTTACTTTAGCGTTTGGGCCAGACTGTGCATACTGTAGTATATTGTGTTAATTAGATTTTTTCAATTTTCTTACCTCCAAAACAATTTGCAAATGGAACCTTGTTCCACCCTCATCTCAGATCTGTTTAAGATCTGTTTAATCTCAGAAATCATTTTTTTTTTAATTATTGTTATGAGCTTGGTTTTTTTTCTCTCTCTTTTTTGATTTTTGTGTGTTATTTCATCTCTTAATAGCAATATTAGGCCTGCTCTCAGGTAGAAAAACAAATTTCAATAATTTCTGGCTTTATTATTTTCATGAAGATTAGGACTTTTATTTTCATGATATCAAAGCAAAATTTATGTATTTAAGGCATTTATGTACCTTAAAGGTTTGATACTCTAATTAGATAATTACTGATTACTAGTCAACAATGATGAAAAATTTTGAATTTCTGTATCCGTCTCCGCCCCTGAAAAGTGTTGGTGGTGATGCTGACGGTGGTGATGCTGAAGAACTGATGATGGTTATGATGAAAAATATGAAGATGATAATGATGTTTGTGCAGCATTGGTAGTTAAAAGTTACAATCATGTGTATGGTCTGTCTCTTATACACATCAATATGTGTATAAGAGACAGTCTAAAGCCCCATCCAGACTATCAAATTTCATTTGACAAACAAATTGTATAATTTATTGTATAAAAAGTAATCATTTCATTTAAAAAAAAAATTTTTTTTTAGTCCTACACATTATATTTTTAATTACTATAATATTGCATAATTCATGTGTAAAAAGTAAATTAATCACTCCTACACTGAAATGATAAGATTAAGGCGTGTCTAATTCATTGTTTTAGACTTCTTTTAAATCATCTCAGAGGAGAAAACGACGTACATCAACAAAGCGTAGAGTGAGCAGTAAAAAGGAGGAAAGCAAGCCAACAAGACCGTTTGTAATCAAATCCATCCCATCTCCACAGTCTAAGCCTTTACTTGTCTTCATTAACCCTAAAAGTGGCGGCAATCAGGTTAGTCATTTTGCATACGTTTTACGAATATGAAATAAAATATCTAAACAAAAAAATATATATAATTTTTTTTTTCTCCCCACCAAATTTTGTTTACTTCCTGATGGGGGTGAAAAATCTCCTCAACAGAGGCCCTGGGGCGGATTGCTATAAAAGGGTCTTAACTGATAGGCTTAACTTCTCGAATAAAGCCCGCTTTATCACTTAGACGGTCTTACTAAAGTCATTCCTCTAAGACCATTGCTAAAAAACAGTCTTTCCTAAGACCGCTTTGAGTATTGAAATGCAAACAAGCACTCCCTGGTAATGTATGATTGGGGACTACGTCATGCGTGCTCGGCGCACGTAAATGTATCGAAATGAACGTAAATAAACCTAGACCTATTTTCACAGACGCAGAAAAGCGGGAGGAATATTTGTCGTTTAATTCTTCGACTTTTAAGACTAAGCCTAGGTTTTGCCATTGCACTGTTGAATTAATCAGCAGAACGCCATGATGAAAATGATTTAAGACCATTTTAAGCCTCCTCCGAGTGGGCTTAAAAATTTAAGACGGCTAACTGGTTAGACCGCGGTATAGCAATGGTCTATAATCGTAGACCAGTAGTGACGTCACAATTATAGTCGGCTAACCGTTAAGACCGTCTAAAGATCGCTTATAGCAATCTGCCCCTGGTCCCTGCCCACCCACGTTCAGAAATAAATGTTTCTTGGGTGGCACCAGAATTTCTACAATGGGGGGTGGGTCTGATGTCCTCGACAGTGGGGAAAGATGTCCATCACAAAATGTTTCCAAAGTCCTCCAGTGGGAACGAAAACCCCTCCCCAGAAAAAAATGACAATTTCGGGATTTCAGTCGCTTATTTCATTATTCTACCTATATCTAAAAAGAAAATACATAATTTTTTTTCTCCCCCGCCAATTTTTGTTTACTTCTGATGGGGTGGGTGGTGGCAAAATCTCCTCAACAGAGGCCCTGGTCGCTGCCAACCCACCTCACTTGCACTATTCCTGTAAGGTAATCATTGAAAAACAGGAGAATCATGATGTGTACAAATCAATAAATTTCTGTCGACTCAGTAGGTATGGATATAAATAATAATATATTATAGATAAGATAATAAATAATGTGTATCTAAGAAAGCAGCTTGTCTCAGTCGGCTAACCTGGTGCTAGCCACTGTGTGTGTGCTAAACTGTGGCAATCTTTACAAAGCTGTGGTGCCCGGTTCAATTTTATTGGGGACCAACTTGTGCTTTAGCTAGAGGGCTAAAATGCAAGTTTCAGTAGCACACAATCTTCATATGAGGCATTTAAGCCATTTGTTGCATGTGCAGTATGGCCCATGTGGATGTTAAATAACTTAGTACACTCTTCTGAAAAGAGTAGGGGATTGTATCTCAGTGTATTGACCAATTAACCACCAGAAGGACCCCACTGAAAATGTGTGTTTGGACTTTTCTTGGTTGTCATTGGTGTATTCACATAAAAAAAAAAAAAAAAAAAAAAAGCATTGAAGTATGTATAAATGGGTACCTGGTGGGGTTGCCTGCTGATGTCCTGATTACTGCAGCAACACCCAATGCAGCACCTGTCTCTTATACACATCTAGATGTGTATAAGAGACAGATGCAACACCATTACACAAACATTAAAATTTAAAAATTAAAGCTGCCTAATAAATAATCGAAGAGCAGTCACAAAAGCGTTAAAATTAAACACAGAAAGGTTTCTCACATCTTCAGGTATACCTTGCCACAAACGAGGAAATCTATTAAAAAGTGAATATTTAAGTGCATTGGTTCTAGCAAATTTATGTTTAAATAAAATAGTTTCAGTATATCTAGGATTAAATTCAACAAAATCATGAATATTAAAATCAATTCTGCCATAGAGACACTTCATAATAAAAAGAATACTTAAAAAACTCAATCTCTGATGAATAGTAGGTAAATTAAGGATTTCAAGTCTATGTTCGAAATCACCGCTCGCACAAAGTTTAGTTATTCTTCTAAGAGGTCTGATGTGCTGATTACTGCAGCAACACCCAATGCAGCACCCAAAAGCATGTAGACCCAATGACTGAGGTCAAAAGCGCTTCGTATCTGCAAAGAAAGGCGCTATATAATAACTGAATATTATGTTATATTAAGTTACTGTCATTTAATTCAAAATAAAACAAGGATAAATGTAATCTTAGTAATTACCATTTATATTCACGAACCCTTAAATTTACTGACAATAATTTTAGGGGCTTTTGAAGTAAAGAAATGAGTAATGCTAACCTGTATTTTAATTGATGTTTATAAATATATATAGAATTATCCATAGTATTATAATAACCTTATTCAAGTGTTAAATTCTGCTTATTATTGGGCATATAAATGCTTTATTGGATATACATAATTTTAATTAGAAAGTAATGTGTATTAGAAAGTAATGTGTATTGTGGTACAGTATTTTCATTGTTAATACATCTAAAGTATTAGAAATATATGTAGAAAAGTGTCAAAGTATTGTTTTAATTGAAAATTGCAGCTGGCTGTAACCTATTGTGCAATGGAGTGTATCTGGCGTTATTTAAATATGTTCAACCATGAAGCCTCTGTGGTCTAATGGTTATGGTGCCCACCTTGACAGTGAAAAGTCACATGTTCGTTTTGATTTCTTGACCGATGATTGATTTGAATCGCCATTTCCCATTCCTGCTCAAGTTGGATTCGCTTCTATATTTTATAACTTTGTTTTGGACTTCTTTGCTATTCCGTCGCTGTTCCTTCGCTATAGTTTGCATATCATCGAACACTATTAATATTATTGGACAGTTGCTGAATGGACTATGCCTATCGTGTTTTATCTTCAAGTTGTCATCACGTGAGTAGTTGTTAGGTTAGTTTAAGTTCCCGTTTAAATCCCCCATTGTAATCCCCCTTTATTTAATAAGTACTATAGTTGTGTTAACATAGAAATGATTTTGTAGTTTTCATTTATTGTTGCATAAGCCTACTGACTGAGCAGCGCGTAACTGGAACCCGAGCCCCCACGATGAATTAAGTGACTGTTGGCTTACTATCAAGTAGGGGTAAATACCCGCTACATATATATATGTGTGTGTGTGTATGTATGTATATATGTATATATGTACAGTATGTATATATATATATATATAAATATATATATATATTGAGTGTAAAATTCAGCTTATTATTTGTCATATATTGTATAAATGCTTTATTGGATATAATTTTACTTAGAAAGTAATGTGTATTGTTTTCCATTATTTTCCATATTTCCATTGCTAATGCATCTGAAGTATTAAAAATAAATATAGAAAAAGTATAGTAGAAAAGTATTGCAACTTGATTTAGTTTTGATTACTGTACTTGGTTTAATAAAATATAAATATAACAAATAATAGATTATAAGTATATATAGGGGAAGCAATGGCTGGATTGTAGTTATACAAACTTGATAATATTACCGCCCTATTTTATTGGGGGAAAAAAACCAGCGTATTGTTCAAAAAGCTTAGCTGACTTATACAAATATAGAAGTAAAATTAAATATTGTTTTTGAAAAGAGGATTCCATGGGTATAAGCCAACCCCCGAAAATCGGGCGTTCAAGAGTGGGTGGTGTGTATATAAATATATATATATACTGTCTCTTATACACATCTAGATGTGTATAAGAGACAGGATGATATAAGCATTCATTCAATAATAGTGCCATCTTGTTGGTTTTAATATATTGCTTAATTCCTACTACAATCGGCCAACCACTTCCCTTTCCCTGCTTGAGTTGCCACTAATACTCAGTGAAATGATTGTCATTCATATTAAGAGAATAATTCATGATGGCAGTCATTGGCCTATTATTTCAAATTGCACAATTCATATTTATTTTTGTTACAGGCAGAATCAGTTACAGGTGGAACCTGTAACTGATTTTGGGAGCCTTCATAGTGATGTTGACATTTCGGAAGTCAAAGATCCTCTTCATCTAGGCAAGGCTGTCAAAAAGAGAATTGAGAAAGACTCTACTTCAATTGAGTCACTTAGCCCAATTTTAGATTCCGAAACCGGGAGTCTTCATTCTGCAGAAACTCTGAGAAGTTCAAGGGCTTCTTCGCAAGCTCAGCAACCAGCTCCGTTCATGTGATCGAGCTGAACCTCAGGGCAAACGGATGTGCAGGAAGGTGAAGGAGGAGGATGAGGGAAAAAAGCAGAATCGGAAGAGGAGAAGAAGCAGGATCAGAAGAAGAAAGAACAGGATCAGGAGGAGGAGGATGAGGAGAGGGAACAGGAGAAAAAGGAGAAGCAGGATCAGAAGAAGGTGGATGAGCAGAAGGAACAGGAAGAAAAGGATGAGAATGAGCTGATGTCTAATTTTTTCCCTCATCAGTGGCAATCAAGGATCGAGAATGTATAAAAGAGTAAGATAAATGTTTGAAACCTGAAGCAGGCCGGAGTGCCCATCTCTCTTACTTTAGCGTTGGGGCCAGACTGTGCATACTGTAGTATATTGTGTTAATTAGATTTTTTCAATTTTATTACCTCCAAAACAATTTGCAAATGGAACCTTGTTCCACGCTCATCTCAGATCTGTTTAATCTCAGAAATCTTTTTTTTTTTTAATTATTGTTATGAGCTTGGTTTTTTTTCTCTCTCTTTTTTGATTTTTGTGTGTTATTTCATCTCTTAATAGCAATATTAGGCCTGCTCTCAGGTAGAAAAGTAAATTTCAATAATTTCTGGCTTTATTATTTTCATGAAGATTAGGACTTTTATTTTCATGATATCAAAGCAAAATTTATGTATTTAAGGCATTTATGTACCTTAAAGGTTTGATACTCTAATTAGATAATTACTGATTACTAGTCAACAATGATGAAAAATTTTGAATTTCTGTATCCGTCTCCGCCCCTGAAAAGTGTTGGTGGTGATGCTGACGGTGGTGATGCTGAAGAACTGATGATGGTTATGATGAAAAATATGAAGATGATAATGATGTTTGTGCAGCATTGGTAGTTAAAAGTTACAATCATGTGTATGGTTGTTCGACAACAATGCTAAATGCAGTGGTTGTTAACTAAAGTAAAATATTTGGCATTTTACTTACTTTTTTTAACTTGTATATTTGTTATTTGTGTGGAATTGTTCATAAAAATAAATGAACTCTTAGTTGAATAAATAAGGATTTTAACTAGGGACCAATTTCATAATATAGTAGTAGTAGTAGTTCTAGAAAAGAAAATTTATGGTAAGGAAATTTAGTGAAATTAAATAACAAGAAATGAGTATGAAAAGAAAGAAAAAATTTTAAAATAGAAGAAAGGAAAATAGAAAATGGACAGTCAACATAGTCTAAGGCTGGGGTAAACACTCCATCGACTGACTGTTGTTTGATAATCCATTGTTCTATAAACATATTGCACTATGCGCTTAATACAATTGAAATATTCATTCAGTTCTGAAATATATGTCTGAATAGATATTCTTGAATAAAAAAAAAATTTAATAAAGTAACATGGGTGGCACCAGAATTTTTCCCAATTGGGGGTGGGTCTGATGTCCTGCATATGGGGAGAGATGTCTATCACAAAATTTTTCCAAAGTTGTACAGTGGAAATGAAAACCTCCCCGGAAATTATGACAATTTTGGGGTTTCAATGGCTTATTTCATTATTTTACTTATATCTAAACAAAAAAATATATATAATTTTTTTTTTCTCCCCACCAAATTTTGTTTACTTCCTGATGGGGGTGAAAAATCTCCTCAACAGAGGCCCTGGGGCGGATTGCTATAAAAGGGTCTTAACTGGTAGGCTTAACTTCTCGAATAAAGCCCGCTTTATCACTTAGACGGTCTTACTAAAGTCATTCCTCTAAGACCATTGCTAAAAAACAGTCTTTCCTAAGACCACTTTGAGTATTGAAATGCAAACAAGCACTCCCTGGTAATGTAAGATTGGGGACGACATCATGCGTGCTCGGCGCACGTAAATGTATCGAAATGAACGTAAATAAACCTAGACCTATTTTCACAGACGCAGAAAAGCGTGAGGAATATTTATTGTTTAATTCTTCGACTTTGAAGACTAGGCCTAGAGCACTTAAAATGTGAAATAATCATTTCACTACCCGACAAACTGAACTTTATTCATTCATTAGGCCTAATATTATTATAGTTTCATATTGCTGTACTATATACTCCAACATCACTGGCGCATGGTAACAACCAACTGACTGCAGATCATTTCCGGTCACACATTACTCTCCATAACACAGCACCCCCTAGTTCCGTCACCTCTGGGTTTTGCCATTGCACTGTTGAATTAATGAGCAGAACGCCATGATGAAAATGATTTAAGACCATTTTAAGCCTCCTCCGAGTGGGCTTAAAAATTTAAGATGGCTAACTGGTTAGACCGCGGTATAGCAATGGTCTATAATCGTAGACCAGTAGTGACGTCACAAAAACAGGAGAATCATGATGTGTACAAATCAATAAATTTCTGTCCACTCAGTAGGTATGGATATAAAAAAGTAAATTAATTTCATTTGTGTTTTTATTGATGATGGATTGTTTTTTGCTTGATCATGTGAAATATGTATCTAAGAAAGCAGCTTGTCTCAGTCGGCTAACCTGGTGCTAGCCACTGTGTGTGCGCTAAACTGTGGCAATCTTTACAAAGTTGTGGTGCCCGGTTCAGTTTTATTGGGGACCAACTTGTGCTTTAGCTAGAGGGCTAAAATGCAAGTTTCAGTAGCACACAATCTTCATATGAGTCATTTAGGCCTAAGCCATTTGTTGCATGTGCAGTATGGCCCATGTGGATGTTAAATAACTTAGTACACTCTTCTGAAAAGAGTAGGGGATTGCATCTCAGTGTATTGACCAATTAACCACCAGAAGGACCCCACTGAAAATGTGTCTTTGGACTTATCTTGGTTGTCATTGGTGTATTCACATAAAAAAAAAAAAAAAAAAAAAAAAAGCATTGAATTATGTATAAATGGGTACCTGGTGGGGTTGCCTGCTGATGTGCTGATTACTGCAGCAACACCCAATGCAGCACCCAAAAGCATGTAGACACAATGACTGAGGTCAAAAGCGCTTCGTATCTGCAAAGAAAGGCGCTATATAAATAACTGAATATTATGTTATATTAAGTCACTGGCATTTAATTCAAAATAAAACAAGGATAAATGTAATCTTAGTAATTACCGTTTCTATTCACGAACCCTTAAATTTACTGACAATAATTTTAGGGGCTTTTGAAGTAAAGAAATGAGTAATGCTAACCTGTATTTTAATTGATGTTTATAAATATATATAGAATTATCCATATTATTATAATAACCTTATTCAAGTGTTAAATTCTGCTTATTATTGGGCATATATTGTATAAATGCTTTATTGGATATACATAATTTTAATTAGAAAGTAATGTGTATTAGAAAGTAATGTGTATTGTGGTACAGTATTTTCATTGTTAATGCATCTAAAGTATTAGAAATATATGTAGAAAAGTGTCAAAGTATTGTTTTAATTGAAAATTGCAGCTGGCTGTAACCTATTGTGCAATGGGGTGTATCTGGCGTTATTTAAATATGTTCAACCATGAAGCCTCTGTGGTCTAATGGTTATGGTGCCCACCTTGACAGTGAAAGGTCACATGTTCGTTTTGATTTCTTGACCGATGATTGATTTGAATCGCCATTTCCCATTCCTGCTCAAGTTGGATTCGCTTCTATATTTTATAACTTTGTTTTGGACTTCTTTGCTATTCCGTCGCTGTTCCTTCGCTATAGTTTGCGTATCATCGAACACTATTAATATTATTGGACAGTTGCTGAATGGACTATGCCTATCGTGTTTTATCTTCAAGTTGTTCTCACGTGAGTAGTTGTTAAGTTAGTTTAAGTTCCCGTTTAAATCCCCCATTGTAATCCCCCTTTATTTAATAAGTACTATAGTTGTGTTAACATAGAAATGATTTTGTAGTTTTCATTTATTGTTGCATAAGCCTACTGACTGAGCAGCGCGTAACTGGAACCCGAGCCCCCACGATGAATTAAGTGACTGTTGGCTTACTATCAAGTAGGGGTAAACACCCGCTACATATATATATGTGTGTGTGTGTATGTATGTATATATGTATATATGTACAGTATGTATATATATATATATATAAATATATATATATATTGAGTGTAAAATTCAGCTTATTATTTGTCATATATTGTATAAATGCTTTATTGGATATAATTTTACTTAGAAAGTAATGTGTATTGTTTTCCATTATTTTCCATATTTCCATTGCTAATGCATCTGAAGTATTAAAAATAAATATAGAAAAAGTATAGTAGATGTCCCCATCAGGATTCGAACCCAAATTGTCGTTTGGATACGCCACCATCCAAGCTATGAGGCCAAGTGTTATTCACCCATGGCTTTTCCCATTAGGACCGTTTTTTTTTTTCTTCTTAAGTTTTTGCGCAATGTATAATAGTAAATCACAAACTCACTATCATGGTGTGATCCTCATTACACCTGAGTGAACTCTCTCGTCGGGAATTGACCCCGTGCCATCGGTTTGATAAATTGAGTGCCAGATATACACACCAATAACAAGAGAAAAAGAAAATATAGCTAAATCATCATCTCGTAGGTTTAGACTCGCTAGAAATGTGGACCAAACAGAAGCTTTGTTGCATCACTCATTTTGTCATTGACTTTAGTATGTTTTTGTATGCATCGTACAAACAATTTTGTTAAGATCTTTTATAAGATATGCATTATAAAATACGATAGAACTTCATTGAATTTATAAATGACAACCATGCTTTTATTCAAATAAAACGACTGCTACTTCACAGGCATGACTGGTACTTAAAAGTTTTAAACCATAGAGAGAATTTGAATCCAATTAGAAGCATTGATTTGTACACACTCTTTTACATGGAACAACATGGGTTTTTTCTGGGGTAATCATCGGATAAGCTGTGCATTAGGTATAATATAATTCTAACAAGGAAGTGAGCGAGCCAACCCCCCCCCCCCCCATGATGAGCTCCAGGATCCTTCTGACCCGGGAGGGAGGAGAGTACCTGCAAGGGTCCTGCCGTGGGTTATAATGAGGATGATGATGATGATGATGATGATGATGATGATGATGGTGATGATGATGATGATGATGATGATGATGATGATGGTGATGGTGATGATGATGATGATGAGGATAATGGTATATGTTGCATCTGTTGTGTCAATCTATTCACTGCTATTTGGGTCATATACAACATATTATAGTTTATAAAATATCTTTGTAAGTCATTTCGGCCTTTAATGGAATAATAAGGCCTAATGTACGATGTTAACTGTACTCACTTAGAATATTTCATCCGTCTCCCGGATCTCTTCAG